TGGTAGTCTCTCCCCACTGTTTCTTCACAGGAAAACTTTTTTCCACTAAAAAAATGGCATTCAGTTTCTCCAACCTGGGAATTGCCAGGGACCAAGTGGAGAAGCTGTGGTAACAGCTGCTGCACTAAGAGGGCCCTGGTCACTTGCTCACAAGCCCCCACTTAGTCAATCACTCCCAGCATTTTCTTCCCAGGAAGCAGTCACCAATTCTTAAGTCGATTTATCTCCAGTCATTTTGGTTGTTGGTGCTGTGTAGTAGTTTCCCCAAGAGTTCTTGGACAGTGAAGGTGGTCTCAATTTGAAAACAGTTTTGGAAGGATGTAAAACTTTGATTTGTATGCTCTTTCCTTGAGTATCTTATTATTCTTTTTTTTGCTATTGTTTGCATAAAGTGTTCAAAAACGATACTTTCTGAAGTATCTGGATACATTCCTCATCCTCACTTTTATCTGGATCTTCTCCCCCCACCCCACTACCACTCCTGTTTTTATTGGAATCAACTATTTCTAGATTGTTTGCTCAGTGTGGCATTTTGTATTTGGAGAGATTATGACGATTATCTTTGGGAGGCTATGAGGCCTAGATTGTGCCAACATCATGTGACTTTACTAAGAGCCATTTTGCATTCATAATTGAATGGACAGAACTCTTCTAAGTTTTAGCTTCTGTCCCTAAATCAGCTCACCACTAACATTGATGACTGATTAATTTTTGCATTTTTTTCCTAACAGTGGCTCAGGTGCATACTGTTGTTGCCTTTGTTTCCTCCTGCTCAGATGCTAACACTACATGGGTCATGTATCTGTTGGTTATTCCTGCTTTGCTGTATTGTGAGATTTATGGTGATGTTTTGTGTCTTAGAGTTGTTGTTGTTTTATTTTTCTAGTTGTCCTACTATAGTAGGACAACTTATTATAATAAGGCTATGTAGGGGGATTCAAAATCTAAGCTGCCTTCTGAGGTCCAAGAATCATATATTTAGTGTTCCAGAGCAAGAGGAGAGAGCTTGAGGGCAAAAAGATATTTGAAGAAACAAACATTGGACTTAATTTTTTCAAATGTGAAAAAAATGATCTATCCATTGATATAAAAAGTTCATTAAATCTCAAGCAGAATAAACATAAGCAAATCCATATAGTTAAGCTATTGTCACATTGTTAAATACCAAAAAATAAAATCAGCCTGAACAAAAAGACAGTTTACCTAAAGGAAGAACAAAAATAAGAATTATGACTGATTTAAATTCAGAAACAATATGAGCCATAAGACAATGGAACATTGACACAAATTATTATTATTATTTTTATTTTAAGAGTGAGGGATACACTTCAGGATTAGGCATACAAGTGGTCATCATACAGATACCCTTATTGATGTTGTGTGCCTCCCCTCCCTTCCCTGGCAGTTTGTGGCTACTGCCAATCCCTTTATTATAGTATTATGGTAAATGTTCAGGATCCACTTATGATTGAGAGCATGTACTCAGTTCTTTTTTTTTTTTATGATAGATCATTGAGTATTATAGACTCTAAATCTGTTCAAGTTGCTGTGAAGTTCATAATTTTATCCTTCTTTATGGCTGTGTAATATTTCATTGTGTATATGCACCATATTTTTAAAAAACAGTTCAGTTTTGATGGGCAGCATGGCTGGTTCCATCTTTTTGCTATTGTGAATAGTGCTGCAATAAACGTGTGCGCAGGTATCTTTTTCGTAGAAAGATTTGAGTTTCTCTAGGTATATTCCCAGTAGGAAGATTGCTGGGTCATATGGAAGGTTAATTTCTAATTCTTTTAGGAATTGCCATGCTGTTTTCCATAGAGGTTGAACTAGTTTGCAATTCCCACCAGCAGTGTAGAAGTGTTCCCTTTTCTCTTCATCTTTTCTGGCATCTGTCATTTTTTGTTTTATTAATAATGACCATTCTTACTGAGGTAGGTGGTATCTCAATGTGGGTTTTGTTTTGCATTTCTCTTATGATTGACACTAATTATAATCACTATCTTTATATTCTTACTTCCACCTATTTCTTAACACACTTCAATTTGGCTCCTTTTCCATTTCTCCACTGCAGATTTACCAAGGGCATCTATGGCCACTATGTCACTAAAGTCAGTGGACTATCTTCCAGGCTTATTTTGCTTACACTCTCATCATATTTTGATGCTAATTGATAGCCATTACCTCTTGAAACCTCCTCTTTTCTTGAATTCTATGTCTACTCCTTTTAATTCCCCTTTGATAATGCTATGTCCATCAGACTCTTCAGTGCTAGTACTACTCTGCACTCTTCCCTTCGTCCTCATCTCTTCTCATGTTACATACTCTTCCTAGCTGTCATCACTTACTCTGATAAACAGGCAAAATTATATTATTATTCCCCCACTGAATTCAAGTAACCTCCTAGGTACCTATATGTTGAGAGAAGAAGCTATCAAGGAGATTCCTGGTCTACTCTCAAGGGCTATTCAGTAACATTCTACCCAATGTTCAAGATGTTCAGAGGCCTGCTTAGATCCTTCCTCTGAATATAACTTCCTCCATAAGAGACTTTTTTCCTCTTACCAATGCTTACTAGCAAATTTCTGAGTTAACTGCTGGGCTCCCTTTTTTAGACAGCAAAAGAACATTACTAGAGCCTTCAGGTATTTCTTTTTTTTTTTGAGTTGGAGTCTCACTCTGTTGCCCAGATTGGAGTGCAGTGGCCGCTCCCGGCCACCGCAGCCTCGACCTATTGGGTTCCGGCGAACCTTCCGCCTCAGTCTTCCAAGTAGCTTCCAACTGGGCAGGTGTGCGCTACCATGCCCGGCTAATTTTTGATTTATGTAGAGATGAGGTCTCGCCAAGTTGCCCAGGTAGGTTTCGAACCCGCAGGCTCAGGCAATCCACTCACCTCAAGCCTCCCAAGGCACGGGATTACAGACTGAGCCACCAAGCCTGGCTCTTCAGGTATTTCTTACCCACTGCAGGGTAACAGGATGACTTGTGGGAATTTGCCTCATATTCGGACAGAGACAACACTCTAGCTCTGACTGATGAGTTTAGGACTCACTGAGGGCCAGACTGGGAACATTTTAACTCCAGATTTTAATCTTCTGGTCACTTGTTATCTAGGATTTCTTTTAGTATGAAATTTTGGGAATATCTTTAAGAGTTTTCATAAAAATTATTTCTTGGTGTTCATGCATTTGTTGAGAAAAAGAGGTCTGGGGTTGATGTCAGAAATTAATAATATATTATAAACAAATAAATTAGGATTCTTAGAGTCAAAGGACATATTTAGATTTATAAGTTACTGTAGGCTACAATTAATGGACTTATTTAATATATGATAGAAATTCTTCACATTCTAATGTAGCTTATGACGCTTAGTTGAGTGTGAGAAAACTGTGACACATAAATGAAAGAAGTGGAAAGCATATAAATCTTCTAGATCAACATCTCCAAATTAAGTGATTGGTAAGAGATAGTGGCAAAATCCAGGTGTGTTTGCACAAATACAAAGACTACTGAAAATTGAGTTTCTTTTCTAGCTTGCTGGTTTTCTTCTTATAATTAGGAAGACCTTGTGAAAACTATGGCAGGGACCATGATGTTGTAGCCTAGGTGTCCTTGTGCTCCATTAGATGCCATTCACCTCATTCTATGTCTTTAAGGCCAAAAGGCTTGTATTCAATGTCTGGTCCTGCCAATAACACTTGTGACCCAGGAAAGCTGGTGGTTGTGAACTTGATAAAACAATTAAGGATTCCAGAGAGAATATAAGCACTATATTACTATTGCTATTGACAATAACATAATCAGGGAGGATTGCTTAAACACATCATATTGATGTGTTTGTGTGTTGATGTAGTTGTGTAGTAGTTGTTAATGTTCTTAATCAGATACTTCTGGCTTTTCCTCTTAGAGGACATAGTTGGAGTGTGCTTTCTGGATCCTTTGTGTTTGGGTAAAGAAATGAGATTGACTTTGAATAATGAATTTGGGTATAAGTGGTGTGGGTACTTCTGGATTCAAATTTTAACTGCCAATGTAAAATTTAAATTGTCTATCTCATCATTCTGATGGTTAATATTTATAATAATGGCTGCTCCATTACCTTGGATCTCTGAGTGTTTAAAATGAGCAACACCTTCTTACTTTTCTATGGTGGAAATGCAGGATAAATGAGAAATAATCTTTTATTTTAAGGTTCTAAGAACTAGAGATCATTTATTTGCAAAATATACCCTAGCTTATCTTGACTGATACACATTTCTTTCTTCAGGATATAAAGGGCAGCTTAGGGAGAATGCTGGATATGTGGTGAAAGGAAGGGTAAGAAAGGAAGAGAAAAGTAGCCAAGTACTGAGAATTCACATTGTTGTGACACTTTGATGTTTGTAGGTGAAGTAAATATTGTTTGTGGATTGTTTTATCTTTCCAACCTTACTCTTAAATTGAGCAAGCCCCATAGGGTTTTTCACTGTTTGTAAAAAATGTTCTGATGTGTGCTGCCTCTGAATGCTTGGGTGGTTTTTACTGTGTGGTTTTTACTCAACCTTCAAAAGTTCCTCTGTCAAAATTCAGCCTCATATTTAAGGATGATCTTAGGTCTTCTAAAAAGTTCTTCCCCAATTCACTACCAAACCTATGTGCTTTCTATTTATGAAAACGAATAGGATTTATAACTTCTTGATGGCTTCCCATTGTCAGCCTTCTAGAACAGGTATTTGCAGAAAAGCATTATGCCACTATATGGGTGCTAATCTGTTGAGGATGGTTGAAAAGGTTATCCTAAACTCTGGATTACTAGAAGTACCTAACTGGGATTGACCATGCATTTGTCCAAGATCATTAAAAGTAACCAAGTGTTTTGTTCCCAGGTCAGTTCTCTTACTGGTATCCAATACCACTTTTCATGGCCTCTTTGTGTGCTATGTGGAAAATAGTTAAGGAAGGATATACCAATAATCAATTATGTCATCTCCCAATAATGATATTCTAACGTTTTGTTCTTCCTATGTTCTGTCCCTTAATTTCTTCAAACCCCTCTTCATATCTTTGTTCCTCAGGCTGTAGATAAAAGGGTTCAGCATGGGTGTCACTATTGTGTACATAACTGTGGCTACCCGGTCCTTCACCACTGAGTACATAGACAAGGGCCTAAAATAGATGTAGATGACACTCCCATAGAACAAGACCACTACAGTGAGGTGGGAGCCACAGGTAGAGAAGGCCTTCCACTTCCCGGCTACAGAGGGGATTCTGAGCACTGTGATGATGATTCGCAGGTAGGAGAATATGATGCACAGGAAGGGCGTCGCGATGACAGCCAGGGTCTCAGTCATGACCACAATCTGGCTGGAGGATGTGTCAGAGCAGGACAGCTTTAGCACAGGCTGGGTATCACAGAAAAAGTGCTTAATGATATGAGAGGCACAGAAAGACAGATGAGACATGAGTAGCACACGAAACAGGGAGTGCAGGTGGGAGATGGTGCAAGATCCCAGTAACATGAGGAGGCAACGCTGTGGGTTCATAACCACATCATAGTGTAAAGGATTGCAGATGGCCACCAGCCGGTCAATGACCATGGAGGCCAGCAGGTAACTGTCAGTATTAGCACAAGCCATGAAGAAGTACATCTGGACCAAGCATCCCACATAGGAAATGGCTTTTGTTTCTGATAGGAAATTTACTAGCATCTTGGGCACTATAACTGTTGTGAAGCAGATATCCATGAAAAATAAGTTGCTGAGGAAGAAGTACATAGGGGTATGGAGCCTGGAGTCAGAGTGGATAGCCAGGATGACGAGCACATTCCCTACCACGGTGACCAGGTACATGAAGAGGAAGATGGCAAAGAAGGGTTTCTGCAGCTGAGGATTGGAAGAGAGACCAAGGAGGGTGAAACCCGATGTGCTACTGCTGTAGTTCTTTATTTCTATGCTTCTGGACTTTCTGGACAGGTTTGGAGAAGCAGTGGGAGAGACATAAATGGCAATTTGATCATAATGGCATCTTCCCTAACCTCCAGCCTATAGAAATAGTCCATGTTCTTTGTTAGGCTTTTTTACAAAAGGTTTAATTCAAGGAACTACAGAGAAATCAATAGTAAAATCAAACAAAGGGAAAGTTAAAAAAAACCAACAAAAACAACTCTGAGCTGCCTCCTAAATTAGAAGCCAAAAGGTTTCCTTGTGTTCATAGGAACTTCTGTGTGGCCTAATTTGTCTGAGTTCTTCTCATTTCCCTTTGTAAAGATTCTTCTTAGGTTGTTTCTTGTCTACTCCTTAACCTTATTATTACTGTTTTTTTGTCATAGAGGAAGATGTTTCTGGGTTCCACCTAGAATTAGAATGCTTTCATACAAGTGATCCCCATGGATGAGGTTTTCTCATTCACTGTTATCTCTAGCTCATAGATTTATAGGTGTTAGTGGTAATTGGAATAGGACAAAAATAAGCATCAGAATTAATCAATGTTCCTTCATATTTGCAAAATTGAGATGAGACTTCTCTTCAGAGCAAAACCTCCTTAATGTTTATTTAAGAATTTCTCTTTGGGTAATATAATATGGCTACTTTAATTGTAATCTTCTGGTCTAGAAATACCAGTCAAAATAGGAGTACTATCAGGAATTGTCTATTACATTTCCTGTATTGTTACTGAGATTAGTGATTTAAACATATTAATTGTTTTATTACAAAACTATGAAGTCCTCATTCTCAACATTCAAATACTACAGGAATATAAGGCACAGAATATGAGTCATATTTCTACCAATATTATGGAAAAGACAAGGTAAGGATAGCTCCATTACCATTATTAAGCTGCATTACTGAGATTGTGAACTAAGCAAGTAACAAAGCAAAATTAAAGAAACAGGAGGCATATGCATTAGAAAGGACAACACTGTTGTTATTTATAGGTAACATGATTGTGTACCAAAGCAATTTAAGATAATCATCTAAAAATCCTTTAAAACCTGTGAAGATTTTACCAAAGTGGCAAGACACATTATAAAACTAAAAGTATTAATTCTCTTTAAAAAAATTTTTTTAAAGACATAGAGTACAAGTCAGGATTGGGTACAAAGTGATTTACATACAGGTGAAATTTGGGCCTCCCATTGGACCTCACTTCTCCTGGATTAGGATCAGTCACCCGTATTGCTGCTATGTCCTTTCTCATCCCCCTTGCTCCTCTGGCAGTGTCCTGCTACCACCAATCCCTTTCTTGTATTATGATGGGTATTCAGGGTTCACTTAAGAGTGAGAACATGTGGCAATGCTCTTTCTGTATTAGAAAAATATAATAGAAAAAAGTTTCAATTGACAATAGCAAAAAAATCTAAAAATTACTTAGGAATAAGCCTGAGGGACCAAAGAAACTAATACACAAAACAAACAACCCCTCCTCCCCCAAAAAATAAAGAAAAGAAAGAAATGAGTAATACTGTTAAGACTTATCAGAAGAAACTATAACAGAACACAAAACGAAGATCTGATATATGACTAACTGCACTACTGAAAAGGAAGACTCTATGTTTTAAATTGTCAAATCTTCAATAAAATTTAATGCACCTCTAATAAGACTCCAATGAATTTTTAATGGAACTTGAGAAGATTGTTCTAAAATTCATCTAGTCTATTAAATGGCTAAGGAAAAATTTGGAATAATGTCAGGTAACTTTTAAAATCCCAAATCAAAGCACATAATAATGAAAAACAAGATAATGACTCACAGAAGGAAAAATCTAAAAATGGACTAATATAAGGAATTTGTATAGTTTATGGATATATAGATTATGACCTATACTTATACATGTACTTAGATAGTAATATATATTAAACTTAACATATAATAAAGATTTATTTCTTAGCAATAAAGAAAGAATGGACCATTACATAAATAATATTTATGACAATTTAAACATTTGGAAAAAAATAAGCCTAGATTTTGATCTAACTCACACATAAAATAAAAACCAGATGAATGAGTAATCTAAAAGTAAAAATATTCTGAACTATAAAATAATTACTAGCCAAAATTCAAGAAGCATATCTTTATGGTCTCATGATGGGAATGCCATTTTAAGCAAGAAATAAGATGTAGAAGCAAGAATGACAAAATACTATACTCAAAAATTTGAAAATTACACCAAAAGAGACCATAAGCAAAGCCACAACATAAGCTAAAATGTAAACTGTTGACTCAAGGAAAACGTCAGCTACATAGTTACCAAAGAAAATATATGACAAGATGTTTAACCTCATTGGTAATCAGAAAATATAAGTTAGACTAAAATGCATTTTTTCAAGCATCAGATTTTTGGGGACAATATCCAAAGGAGAATAGAATTTCACATATATTGGTAGTGGGAGGGTAAATCAGTATAGAATGCTTAGTAGTCTCTATCAGAATTGAAAAGCTGCATCTCTTTGTCCAATAGTTCTACTTATAAAACTCTAGCATTTAGAAATAGTCTCATTTGAGTAACACACAATATGAGTTCTTACAATATTAAACCAAGCCAAACAAACAAACAACCCACAGAGGACACAACTTAAATATCCACATGTAGGTGAGTTACTAAACAACAAATAGTGCATTCCTGTTACTCAGCAGCATGCAATCTCTAAAAAAATAAGATGACTAATGTTAGCCAACATTTATTAGCACTCAATATATTATACACACTTGGTACCTTGTGTATTTTTAAAACCATTTTATTTTCTCCAAATCCCAAGAGCTAGGCACATGAATTATTTCAATATTACAGAATAAAAATTAGAGTTTAGCAAAGTTAAGTAACTTAGTAGGTCCTATAGGTAGTTAGCTGTAGAGCTGGAATTTGAATTCATGCAGTCTGATGACAGACTGGAGCTATTCATTTCTAAGATATGTTATTACAATTAAAGTACTGTGTATGGCATTTTGTAATGTGACAAAAATATGTTGCAGAACAATGCATATAAAATAATCTCATTTTTATAAAGAAAATAATCACTGTTATATGTTGTGTTTATTGCATTTTTATGTGTATTTATGTGTATGTGGTTACCTTCTGGAGTATGGATGGATGAAGTGGGGAGTAACTTTCATATTAAACTTTTAATTATATATTTATTTTTTTAATTGACAAAATAAAAATTGTATATATTTATAGTGTACAACATGCTGCTTTGAAATATGTATGCATTGTGGAATGGCTAAACTGAACTATTTAACAAATGCATTCCCTCACTTAGTTACCATTTTTTTGTGGTGAGACTATATTGTTTGCATTTAAAAATGGACATATGATTCTTTATAGTAATTTTATAATTTAAAGAGTGGAAGACAAACAGATCAGGAGTGTTGGGTGCATCGGCTGTATGTCCTGTTTAGGAGTTCTTCAGAGTCCTTCTTAGGCTGGGTGCTTCTCTTTTCAGTTCTCTGAAATCTCACCTTTCTGCCTAGTTTTTGCTCCTGTATCAGGTTAGAGCTTTTCCTCATGTCTCAGCTCCAGAAAAGGTGATATCTTAGTACTTTCTCATTTTCTACTTAGTTTGGGTTGAAAACCATATTCCAGAAGGTAACCACATACACATAAATACACAGAACCCAGTTCATTCAGTTCAGGTTGTTCTCAGTTAGTTTCTGCCCCACTATTTATTTTTGTCTTTCTTCTCCTGAAAAATTACTGGTTTCTAGGATGCCAAGCTCTGCCTCTCTCTTGGTAATTCAACGAGTTAATCTTTCAAGTTGTCAGCTCTTCCTGGTGCCTCCCTTCACTGTGCCAATCCAATATTCATAGATGCAGCTGTAAATACAGGAACTACACACTATGTATCCTGGATCATAAGAAGTGTGTGTGACGATATGGATTCTCAGGGAATTTGCTCGACTTGGATGCCATAGATCCCTGTGCCTTCCACCTTTGCCCTTTTAGCATTCCAGAGCTAGAAATTTCACAGTCTGGAGGTGGCCCAGTCCTTTGTAGAGCAGATTTGACTTAGAAAAGTATTCTTCATTATAAGTTGGTTTGTCTTCCTAATTTTTGCCATTAGATAGCTGGCTTATTGTCCCATTCTCATCTCTTTAAACACAATGCAATAAGTCTAACCTGCCCTTCCTTATGGATACCACCTAATATGCGATCTCTCAGATGGTGTAGACAGGCTATTTGGTGTCACTCCTTACTGATGCTCTTATCTTCTTCTCCAAAATATGGGAAGAAGGCTAACAACACCTCAGCTTTTCAGCAAGTCTCTTAAGATACAGACATCCATAGGATGCCCACAGTGTCTGACATGGTAAATAGAAATTTGGGATGAAGAGAAGTAGCATCCAGTACCTGATGTCAGAAATGGGCTGACCATTGTGATGACAAGCACTGTTCACTCATCCTTCTCCTTTCCAGCAAACTTGGACAGCTGGTTTGAAATAAAATAGCCTTAGGCTATCTTAAAACTACTCCAAATTCTGGTTTTTCCTTATTCTCTCTCTAATGTCCATATTAAAAGTCAGCCTTGTCTGGGTGCAATGTTTCACACCTGTAATCTCGGCACTTTGGGAGGCTAAAGTGGGAGGACTGCTTGAGGCCAGAAGTTTGAGACCAGCCTGGGCAACAAAGTGAGACCCTTTCTCTACCAAAAATACAAAAATTAGCCAGGCATAGTGATGTGCTCCTTTAGTCCCAGCTACTCAGGTGGCTGAGGCAGGAGAATCACATAAACCCAAGAGTCTGAGGCTGTGGTGATCCATGATTGTGCCATTGCACGCCAGCGTGGGTGACAGTGAAACTTAACCTTAAAAAGCATAAACAAACAAATAAATATTAGCCTTGTGTTATGGAGAGACCTCTGGAAATAGAACCAGAAGAACTAAGTTCTAGGCTTGACTTTGCTTTTGAGCAACCTTGAAAAAGTTATTTAATCTCTATGAGCCATGATTTTATTTCTTTAAAAGATGTCAATAAAATCTGACCGATTTATTTTATAAAGTTTAAAAGCACAGCCTCTTTCACTATCAACACCCTCCACCAGAGTGGCATATTTGTTATAATTG